CATAACTAAGGATGACGGGCTGCTAAAAATCTGAGATGAGGCATTCAGATCAGGAGATAAGCCAGCTCTCAAAACAGCAAGAGCCAATCTGTCTCATGGGCTCAAGAAGGCAAAACACACCTGCACAAAAACTACACACATCTCCAAACGACCAGGTGCTCTGTCTCTCTCCAGCCAACGTAAGAAAGACCTTGTCCAGGATCAACCCACGTAAGGCTGCGGGCCCTGACAACATACCTGGCCATGTACTAAGAGATTGTGCTGCACAGCTGACGGATGTCCTAACAGATATCTTCAACATCTCACTGAGCCAGGCAGTCATCCCCACATGTCTCAAATCCACCACCATAATTCCAGTACCAAAGAAGTCAACTGTGTCCTGCCTGAATGACTATCGTCCCATAGCACTGACCCCAATCATGATGAAGTGCTTTGAGAGGTAGGTCATGCACCACATTAAGTCCAGTCTCCCAAACACGCTGGACCCATTCCAGTTTGCATACCGTCCAAACCCTTCCACGGACGATGCAATATCCTCCACTCTCCACCTAGCTCTTACTCACCTGGAACAGAAAGACTCTTATGTTAGAATGTTGTTCATCGATTTCAGCTCAGCATTCAACACAATAATCCCTCAGTAGTTTATCAACAAACTAAACTTGCTGGGCCTCAACCTACCCCTCTGTAATTGGATCCTGGACTTTTTAACTGAAAGACCTCAGTCGGTCCGTGTCTGCCAAAACACCTCCAGCACTACCACACTGAGCACAGGTGCCCCACAGGGCTGTGTGCTCAGCCCGCTGCTCTTCACACTGCTCACTCACGACTGCGCTGCCAAGTTCAGCTCCAACACATCATCAAGTTTGCTGATGACACAACTGTGGTAGGCCTCATCAGAAACAACGATGAAACACACTATAGAGAGGAAGTGGCACAGCTGGCCGAATGGTGCGGTGTCAACAACCTGTCCCTCAATGTGAGTAAGACAAAGGAGGTTGTGATGGACTTCAGGAGAAACTCTGTTGACCACCCCCCACCGACCATCGACAGCTCGGCCGTGGAGAGAGTCAGCAGCGCTAAATTCCTGGGAGTGCACATTACAGAGGATCTCACCTGGACTACCAACATCACGTCACTCAACAAGAAGGCCCAACAGTGCCTCCACTTTCTCCGCCGGCTGAAAAGAGCAAGTCTCCCTCCACCCATCCTCACCGCTTTCTACAGGGGCACCATTGAGAGTGTGCTGACCAGCTGCATCACTGTCTGCTATGGAAATTGCAGTATGCTGCAGTCCTGTAGTTGTGGCCGAGTGGTTAAGGTGATGGACTAGAAATCCATTGTGGTTTTCCTGGGCAGGTTTGAATCCTGCTGACACCGTGTGAGGCTTGCTTTGTCAAAAAGCAGCTGAACCCTGCCCTGTGGTGGCTGTTACTGATACTTGAATGACAGACAATGGAGTGGTTCAAAATCCACGTATGTGTCCATTCAAAAAACAGTTTACTGGCCACAACCTCTGTAGAAGCAGGGGAGCCAAAAATTAAGACCTCAGTCTTAGAATCATTTAACTGGAGGAAGTTGGCAGACATCCACTGTTTAACATCTCTCAGACAAACACCGTAAACTGGAGACATCCTTAGGATGCAAGGGAACATAACACTGAGTATCACCCATTGTGTCAGGATGGCCGAGCGGTCTAAGGCGCTGCGTTCAGGTCGCAGTCTCCCCTGGAGGCGTGGGTTCAAATCCCACTTCTGACATTTGACCTTGCTGCTTTTTGGTGGACTTCCCATACCAAAGTCCATTGTTTCATGTTAAGAGGTTGAAAGAAATCCGCTGAAGCCTTCCTGCATAGTTTAGGATGCTTATGAATATGTCTGAGATTTGATTTGTCAAAAGGCAGCTGAACCTTGCCCTGTGGTGGCTGGTACTGATGCTTGAATGACATACAATGGAGTGATTCAAAATCCAGGTATGTATTTTTTATTTTTTTTTTTTAAACTGGTTATAAAACACTGTTGGATTTCTTTGGCTTTGTACTCATTACGTTGCACAATGACAATAAAGTTGACTCTAATACTGACCCTGGAAGCTAATAAGCTTTCCCAGCACAGGTTCCAATGCTGAAGAGTGGGGCTGAGCCTCTGTTTGCCAGAAGATGGGTAAAAACTGGTCATTGCATTCGATTCTGAGGCTCGATTCGATCCGATTTTACAGCACCGCCCCGAGATGGTTGCACAGTGAACCAACTACACTGCCTTACGGTGTTGTTGATGTAAAACGTGAGCATGAGACCTGGGCATGGGCAACCTCAGCGTCAGACCTGGGCATGGTCTGCCCTGTGTGGAAGGGTGGCCGAGTGGTCTGAGGCACTGCGTTCAGGTCGAGAAAACTGGCCGTTGCCAGCCATCAGTGCTAGGGTTCACTTTATAGCACTGCCCACAGATGGTTCCCCAGTGAACCAACTACACTGCCTTGCGGCGTTGTTGGCATAAAACCTGTGCAGGGTCCTTAATTCAATTCAATTTTATTTGTATAGCGCTTTTA